ACACTTGTATATTATCATTATTCCTTTTTTAAAAATTGTTGCGTTGCTGTGATTGGACTCAAGGCTTTTGCACTGAGCTACCTCCCCAGCCCTTAGTTTTTTTGAGACAGGGTCTCATTAAATTGACCAAGCTGGGCTCAAACTTTTGGTCCTCCTGCCTCAGCCTACCAGAGTGCTAGGATTACAATGGCACCACTATAACCAGTTTATCATCTTTTAATCAGTTTCTCTTTTCAGATACGTTCATTGATATGTTCAATGTTAGCACAAAACCTGTGATCATTTGTGGCTAGACTTACAAATCCTACACTACAGGATAAAGACAAATGTGTCTCATTTTCATAATAGAGACTTATTTCTGGAAATTTCATGTTGAACATGTTATATACATGACCAAAATACATGACGTTTAAATTTTTTTTTTAATTTATTATAGTAAAAGAGACACTGCCATTAATTCCCCTCACTTCTAATACACTTATTCCACTGTCACTGCCACCTTCTGAAGCAGCTCTGGAAGTTCACTTTCCTGTATGTGTTTAAGAGGTGTGATCAAAAATATAGTGAATGCTGCTGCCAAGTGCCATCCAGTGGAAAAGGAATCTTGTAAAAACATCACAGTCTGGCACTATGGAATTTCCAGCAAGTCAAAATGCCCAGTTCAGGACCTTGAGGGAGCCACAGTTCAACCAAAGCTGTTCACTGTGCTGCTAGAGCCCTAACATGAAACCATCCTGAGCCTCCAACTAGATAAACCTGCTAGGCTTTCACCTCTCACATCCCAAGCTTGCAATCAAACAAAAACAGACCGCTCACTCCCAGGGTATCGGGTTAAGTGCGCTTCTCTTTCAAAGCTAAAGTCACTGTAATAATCCCACAAGAGATCTATTTGGCATTGGAGCACTCAGCATTTAGTAAATATGCTTTCACTGAATACTATGATTGTTTCAACAAAGCTCCCAATTTGTCTCTTTCTTTCTCTTTCTCAGTTGACAAGAGCCTCCTGTCCCCACTACTTACTAATCTCAGATTTGAAGAGTCCATCTGAGTAACCTGGGCTGTGATCCCCACCGCCATCTCGGAATGCTAGCTGTTTACTGAGAGCAAGCTGCATTTGTGGGATTCAAAGCATTACTAATTAGAACCTGTTACCTTCCTAAGGGCAGATGTATTCTCCTCTAGAGCAGCATTTGTCTGTCCCATTAGCATTAATGGGAGTAACACAAGTGCATCAAGAGGAGAATGGTCCCCTTGGGTCTTTGAGCTTAAGTCTACTTCAAAACTGAAAGCGATATATACAATGATATCATTGATGCCATTAAAAATCATTATACTTTACTGCAACTTTTATAAAAGTAATTGTAAGCTTCATGAAATATACTCAGCTCCTGGGAGTTGTGCATTATTAAGCTGAAACTGGACATGATAAAGTGAATTACACGATAATACTTGAAAAATATTTTGTCCAGGGGAATTTACTAAATCTTGTTCAGCTTGTGCAGAGGTCTGTGTTCATAAAGCCAATTAGCTTGGGATGATTTTAAAAGTGCATGTAATTCTATGCTAAAATTCAGGAAATCTGGGAAAGGATGCAGCTCGGTGTCTGTGTTTACAATGATATGTCTTAATGGGCTGCCATAAAATACCATCACCAGTGTCTCCGTAACATCCTTCATTTGCATAATCTTAAATGCATTGTAATATTGCTGATGCTCCAATTATTTTAGAGGAAGAAGGGGGGGCTGTTTTTTTCCTAGACCGTTTAACTGAGGCTTAGAGAAACACTACAGGTAAGGATGGCCAGAAAGGAAGGGTGTGAGTGGCAGCACAGAACACCAACCTAAAGGGTTAAACCTTTGGAGAACCTGCACAGTAATGCCCACATCCTCAGGCTGGAGGCCTGGTCTGCATAATTTGCTGGGTATTCACTGTGCTGGGAGGAAGATGAGTGGGACCGCCAGGATTTGTGACCTCATTAGCCATGTGACCATGAATGATTAAAGTTTCCTCATAAGTAAAACAGAGATTACAAAGTTCTTACCTCATGGGGTTGTTCTGAAGATTAAGTGACTGAATACATTATGAACCGCTTTGAATAGTGCATGGCACACAGTAAGCACTCCATAAATGTTAGATGTCATTATTAACATCTAAGTCCCTCCAGGACAGTGTTATCCGTGAGGAAGAGTAAATGGAGAAAGTTAAAGAGCAAAGAGAAATGCATTCTTCACTTCCCAGTGTCCCCAAACACAGTTCTGTCTTATTCTCTTTGCCCTCAAATTCCCATGAACTCAGAGCTTTAGGATCTCTAAAAATCCAAGTTGCCTGGGAAAGGTAATACATCGTTCCAAGTCTGTGCCAGGCATGGCTGCCACATTCTGCCCAGTTTTTATCAGGCCCTCTCTTGAGAGAGTAGGGAGGGACAGGCTGCTTTCAAACAAGGGGTGGGCCAAAGAGCCAAAGCTGAGGCCCTATCCTAGTCTAGGGCCAGCTCAGGCCTCAGGCCTCTACTGCTGCGTTATGTGTAATCAGCTACTAATTTCCACACAGGTAAATCATTTCTGCAATTTCTAAATCTGTCCCATGTCACTTGATCCAGCGCTCTGGCAGTCTGAGCTCTTCTCAGTGAAGGAGCTTTTGGTCACAGCTCTTAATGCACTACAGGCTGGAATACCAGCGTAACAGTGGTGTGGAAATGTCTCTTTCCACTGTCTTCTCTCTGTGCACTTGGGTGCCTGGCCAGTCATGGGGCAGGGAGAGCGGTACCACGCCTTTCTCCGGCTGTTAAATCCCTTTACATTCAACAGCTTAGTTTCTCTGCCCTGGGCTCCTTTGGCATCCTCTTTCCTACTACATCCCACATTTTCTTAAAATTATCTATGATTCTCCACTGGACTATAAACTTCTTGAAGAAAAGAGACTATTTTATTTATCTTTGTACTAGTACAGTGTCAATATCAGAAGACACTCAAATATTAATTAACTACAAAGCTTCCAGGCAATGGAGTTTTCCAAATCATTTCTTGGAACCATGAGTTTTAAAAGCATTCCCATAATTCTTAGCTCAGGTTCAAGTACTTTAGATCTATTCCTCAGTGTTTCCTGAAGGTGATTTGATTTGCTTCAAAGTCGCCTTCAGATTTCTTAGCTATCGAGCAATTACATAAATGCTAAATTGCACATTTTTTTCTTATTCTTAAATGTCAGCAATGATAAACTAAGCTTATATTTGCTTTTTAAATGTAATGAAAGTAAAATGAGACCACCAGATAAATTTTGTAGATCATTTCCATGTCTTTGGGATTTAAGCAAACTGTATTCTCCAGAAAGCTTAAAGTGTTCAAAACTACTGGCTTAACACACACACACACACACACACACACACACACACACACACATATCTGATATATATATATATCTGTTTAGCATCTCAATAAACCTTATCAACCTTTTTTCATTCCACTGGCAATTTTCTGACCTCCAAGCTAAAGACTTGAGCCCTGAATTCTGCTCATGGGTGAGTAATCACAGCAAGCCCATAGCAGAACCTATCCCCGAACTACAAATATATCATCTTCAACATTGTAAATCAAAGCCTCAAAGAGCATCATTTAGCCTGCAGCTAAAATTGCTTGTTTATCAGATGGTGCCTGGTTTAGCGTGGAGCAGTCCCTTGTAAATCTCTGGGACCTTTTACAGCGTATACTTAAGCAAGCACATCGGCTCCTAGGAGGCTTTCTGAGAGCTTTAATGACTGTGGGCTGCTAAAAGATCCAGGCCTTGGTTTAGCTAAAGTGGCTACGGGTACAGTTTGGCTCCATTTTGTAAACTCACAAAGATAAGACGTCTGCTTTCTCCAGAGTGAGAGCCAAGCATTTGTTTCTTAAGGAATCTTTATATCCAAAGTGTTAATGTTCTTGTGGCTTTGGGTATTTTGACCTTTTGCCTGCTAACTTTTGATTTACGAAGGGAGAGAGTTCTCATTCTAGACTTTATTGCCACTCTGGAGGGACAACGAAATGCACGTGACCCTTCACAATTATATGGCAAAGAAAATGACTTTGGATTAACACCATACATGTCACACGCAATCATAACGCACTCCCACTCCTGCAGTCAAATGCAACACACAGCTCCTCCTTCGTGACATCCAAGGGTAAATATTGTGCCCATGGTTTTTGCAACAGGGCAATTAATGAGTTCAGAGCAGACCCTGCTGGCAGCTTGCTCACCTCAGCACTTTGTTTCTCAGAAAGAAAACGATTTGTAAATTCTGGCCATGTAGCAGAAGGTAGCAAGGGGAAATTGTCCACCAAATCCCCATTGGCCTAAAAACCTAGCTGCTTGCTAAAGTCGTGAATAGCTTATTGACTGAGTGTACCACCAAGGGTCCCGGCAGCCCACTGACTACTTTATGATGGAGGATGGAAGAGCCATGACGAAACTCACTAATTAAAGAAATCTTTATACGGCTCTGTGTTATATACCATCTCTTTGATACAAGTTAATTAAAGTACTCTTCAAAACCTTCATCTGACATGGGAAAAGTTCCCAAGAGAGTTGGAGGTGAAGCAAAACATATTTCAGGGGCTCTTCTCTTTTTTCAAGCATTGATAAATTGTTTTCATACTAAATTCACAGCAACAATGTCTGCATTTTGAAAAGCAACCTCTTTATCCTAATACTACACTCTGTCTTCATAAGCCAAATCTTAATGTTTTTGCCTTTGCCTCTAGGCAGGGCAAAGAGTTTTATGGTTTGGGTTTTTATTGCTATTATTATTTTTGTTTGCTAGTAGTTTTATAATCCTCCAAACAAGCATACCACTACGGATAAGCTGTTCCCTACTTGGCATCATTTTGATGAAGGGCATTCAGGCTGGGGACTCCCGAGGATAAGTATACAATTCTTGTCATAAAAGCTAAAAATATGTGCACCTGTTGCAGCCTGCTGAAATCAAAACAAGCTGGCACAACACTTGGGAAATAAAAGCGTAACTGACTCATCTGCTTCCTGAAAATAGACTTCATGTTTTTATTCCTCCAAAACCAGCTCTGAGAGATAGTTTGTAAATTTCAAGCAATTAGAAGACAGATGATGTGGCCAAGTCCCAGGATGGTAAGAAAGAAAGGTGGGTGATCTCTTTTCTTGTGTACATGGGGATCACATTTTTAGACCCCTTCACTATAGCCTCAGATAGCAAAGCCTAATAAGGAGAGCCTTCCTGGAATGTGGTCAACATTAGAGCATGCCATTTCATTCATTGATTCATATTAGAAATATTAATTGAGCATCTAGTATGCATGGTACTAGGTCCTGAGACAAAATTCCCTGTTCTCAGTGAAGTGTGTAGTTTAGTAAGTATGTGAGTCAGTTTTCTGCCACTGAGACAAAATACTTGAGGCAATTAACTTAAAGGAGAAGAAAAGGTTTATTTTGGTTCAGAATTTTGAAGGTTTCAGGCTATGGTTGGTTGGGAATTCATGGCAAGGAATCTGCTCATTTTATGGTATCCAGAATGTAGATGTGAAAGAAGGAGGGTCAGGATATCCTTTTCAAGGGTACAGCCATGACCTAACTTCCTTCCACTCAGCCACACCTTCTAATGCATCTATCACCTTCCAGTGGTGCCAAGGTGAGGACCAAGCCTTAATACGTGGGCCTTCAAAATACAAACTAGATTCAAACTATAGCAGTAAGAAAAGAGATCTGCTAATAAAATTACAAAAAAAATTAAAATTGCAGTGTGAACCAAAGCTTTGAAGGATACATACAGAATATTGTGAAGGTCTCAGAAGCAAAGGGTTTCATGAGGGTAAACACCTCTAATCCTAGTACCACAGGAAGCCGAAGCAGGAAATCACAATTCCAAGTCTGGCCTGGAAAACTAGCAACTTAGCAAGATCCTATCTCAAAATAAGACATAACAACAACAACAAAAATTAGGGATGTAGCTCAATGTGAAGCTTCTGGGCTCAGTCTCCAGCACTGCCATAAAGCGGGGGGAGGGAGAGACAAGAAAACTTCTCTGAGAAAATAACATTTGGATCAGAGGCACCGAGGCATGACACAGAGTCACCTAGGCAACAAAGGTAAGAAAGAATGTTCTTAATGGAGAACAGCATTGCCAAGGTCCTGTGGCAGGAGAGCACATAGAGGAGGCCAGTGTGACTACAGAAGAGACTCCAGCGAGGATCTTGCTATGGATTGAGGTTAGGCTTGCAGAAGGCCATTATGTGTTTATCATATAAGCAATGGAAATCACTGGAGGACTCTAAGCAGAAGCTGACCCAGTCAAGGCAGTGTTTTGAACAGATTACATTATCTTCAGGGTAGAAAATTGATTTGGAACAGCAAGAACTCATCCCTGAGTTAAGAACTTGCAATAATTCAAGCAAGAGATGATGGGACCCAGGACAAAGGTGGCGATGGTAGAAATTCAGGACAAAATAGATTTGGAAAATATCTGAAGGTTGAGGCTAGGGATTTAGCTCAGCGGCACAAGCACCTTCCTTGCAAGTGTGCGGTCGTGAGTTCGATCCCTGGTACCGATAAAAACAAAAAAGACCAAAAAAAAAAGAAAAAGAAAAGAAAATATCTGGAGGTAAAATCAATAGAACCTAGTGTTTGGACATTTGAAATGTAAGAGACAGAGATATCAAGAAACACTTCTAGCATCCATTTTGTGTAACTGACTATCTAATGGTGTCAGTCTCTGTATTAAGGTTCTCCAGAGGAACAGGGTCAGTAGAAAATATATGTGTAATTATGCAAGGGGTTCTTTAGGTAGGTTTACAGGATCAGAAAAGGACAAGTTACAATGGCCATCTGTGACTGAAGAATCAGAGGATACAGCAGCTTCTCAGCCCAAGAAAATAGAAGCCTCAGAACAAGAAAGACCAAGGATGCAGCTCCAGGCTGCAGCTCCCTGGAGAATTCCCCATGGGAGTTTCAGCTGGAAGACTGAAGAAACTGGAGACCTAGAGACTGATGTCCGGAGACAACAGCAGCAAAATACGCACCCTCTCACAAAGTGGGCACACCTCCTTCTTCGTCCCCTTCTTAATAACTCTTCAGGCTACAGACCTCTTGGTTGGTGTCACTCATAACTGGAGTGGATCTTCCACCCCCAGTCTGCTGACCTACATGCCAATCTATAGATGCACCCCATACTGTGCTTCCTTGATCTAATCTGTCAGGCTTTATTAATCCATTCAATTCAGCATAGCATGGTCAATAGTCACAGTACCCTGCGAAGACTGAAAAAGGTCCTGCTTGGGGACAAGGAAGAATCTTGAATATAAGACATACGAAGTGGCACTAAGGTCTAGAGGTACCAGGTAAAGAGGTGAACAAACAGCCTACGGTCCTCAGGGCTCTGTGAACAGAGCCACAAGAATCTTTCAAGAAGGAGCGACTAAAGCCATGTGCAGTAGTTTTCTGGGGCTGCTATAACAAATCACCACAAGAAGGGAGGTTTAATAAATAGGAATTTGTTTTATCACAGTTTTTGAGGCTAAACATGCAAAATTAAGGTGTCCACCAGGGTCACATTTTTTCTGAGGGCTCTGAAAAGATTTCTGCTTTGCATCTTCCAGTTTCTGGTGTCTGTGTGCAGTCCTGGGCTACCTTATCTTCTGATCGCATCACTCCAACCTCCACCTCTGTCTTCACTTCGCCTTCTGTTCTTCTCTCTCTTCTCATCTGTTTATCCCTCATAAGACACATCTCATTGTGTTTATGGCTCAACCACAAAATCTAGAGATCATTAATCTTAATATATCTACAAAGGCACTTTTTCCAAATAAGACCATATTCCTAGGTTCCAGGGCTTAGAATGTGGACACATTTTGGAAGTCACTTTTCAGGCCACACCACTATGCATATATTATAAGATGAACCATGGGGACAATTTAGAAGAGGAGAAGGTCTGAGATTATGCTTGAGGGCTTCTGATATTTACTGAGTTTACCATGAAGTGTGTCGTGACACACAACCACATCTATTGATTACAAGGTTCCTTGGGAGTCTGAGGTCATTATCAATTAAAAACTTCTGAAGTTTCCCACCATTCTTCATTCTGACCCATTACCCACTTGCTCATATAGACTTCCTAACAATATCTTTTCTGGAGTTCTTGAATCTATTATACATAGCACCTTCTTAGCATTCTCATTAATTTCTTTCCAAATGTTCTTAATGTGCTCTGTATATTCTATTTTCCTGATATTTCCCCACAGCATTCAATGTAGGACTAAACACATGACATATATCCAATAGACACTTGGTGGTTGATAGTGTGGGATTAGTTTTCTATTAATTCTTTATTATTTCTAGTGGTAACAGTGGATTAGAACAACAATGACTTATTATTTTACACTTAATAGATTAGAAGTCCAATACAGGTCTCCCTGTGCTGGTGTCAATGTGCAGGCAAAATTATATTCCTTTCTAGGAGTTTGGTGGGGAGAATCAATTTCTTTGCCTTTTTCAGCTTCTAGAGCCCTTTTGCATTCCTTGGCTGGTAGCCCCATTCTTGCATTTTCAAAGTTAGCAACTATAGATTCCCAATTGAATCCTTCTCCTAATCATTCTGGTCTTCTCTTCTGACTTTTTCTTCTACTAATAATCTTGTGATTATATCAAACCTACCCTGATAACCTATGATAACTTCTGTATTTTAAGGTCAGCTATTTGGTCACCTTAATTTCATTTACAATCTAAATTCCTTTTACCACATAAAATAAGCTAATCACAGGTTTCAGGGGTTAGAATTCATATCTTCTGGGGATGGCTGTCATTATTTTGTTGTTAGTTCAAATTGATTCATTGCATTACATTACAATACATTACATTAACATTACTTTACATTGCATTACATGGCCAAGATGTTTGCCTTTGAATGGAGGTCCTGAGAACTTGCCACTTCTATAAGAAAGAAGACTTGTAAACAAAAAATGAAGAACTATTCTTTGATGCTGACTGGTTATCAAATAACAGAGTGCTCACAGGCGGTTCCTGGCCCAGAGCAATAGTATCTATTGGGACTCTGAATCTTGGGAATCCATTCAAGACTCCTCAGTATTTACCATCTAACTGTTTCATCAAGTGCCAACAAACATTCACACATTATCAACTGAGGACACCATAAAGAAAGAAAGAGAGACAGTGGGTATAAACTGAGTGTGTGGTCACACTAGGGGAAGTAGAAATTACAGTCAAATGAAGGAAATCCTTCTTACCTGGTGATTTGGGGCCAGAAAAGTAAAGACTAATCTACCCGACATGAGACACTTGCTATTTCCCTCTGGTCACTAGTTTGGGACCAAGACAGACACATGTGGAATACTAGGTCCCAGGACCACTCTATTCTCAGAATTGCTACTTTGATCTCCTTGCCTCATCTACCAGAAGTTCAACAGGTTCCAAAATGCTTCTTTGCATTCATATCATGTCTTGCCAAGTGCTGTGCACTTTACTTTGGATTTCCCCAATAGTTCTGTGTAACCAGCCATGAACCTACATCTTAAACCTGTCTACTCTGCCAAAGAGGAAATGGGATGCAGAAGACTCAAGTAGATTTTCAGAATCATGAAGCTGCTTAAATCAAGAACCCCAGTGACCGACCCAGGTCCCTCTCAGGGACCTTTTCCCACATGTGCAGCCTCTAGGTGACTTAACTGTCCCAAATTAGCAATCACATTAGTCAGAAGCCAGAACCAGCCAGCTTGCAATCATGTTCCCAGAGCCTGCGCGAGACTTTCACCAGAGGCTTAAAGAAAAATAACACAAACCCTGAAATGTCCCTTCCCCAGTTTGCCTTGAAAATGGATTTTAAAACAAAAAGGTAAACTCCTCGTTCTTCACCCTCCAGCCATTCTGGAGGCAGAGCTGTTGCAGCTCCCCTCTCTAGCAGGTGGCCTCAGCAGCATCTTTGAGTAAGGACAATGACACTCCCAATATATAAAATGTAATTTGTCTTCCTTTCATTAACAAGCACTTTGCCAGCTAGCAAATCTCATAGCTCGGGCAAATGTGAAAATATTGCCTATCTGCCTGTGAATTATGCAAATCGACAATCTTCTCCAGCAGGAGGTGGTAAGAATTGATGTTTGTAAAGTGATACAAGATTAGTAGCTCATTATAAATAAAAGTAACCCTTTTTCATTGTACTGGTTAAAAATCAAGAGAGAAGACCCAGGAAGAAATTTTATTCTACTGTTAGAGCAATCAGATGAAGGTTTTGAGAAGCAGAGAACATTTCCCTAGTCATTGGTTTCTCAAAAACAATAAGAAGGGACAGTTACAAGAGGGTGACCTGGGACTAACACTTGGGTTAGGTTAGAGGAATTAGTAACTAAGTTTGTAAGGATTATTTTAGTAAAGTTGGGAGTCTGAACTGGGAAATGGTGCTTATCAGAGTAGACGTGATGTTGAATGCTAGTAAGAGGACAAAATCAAATCAAATTTCTTAATATTTGCCCATTGCCAGTGTTTTCATTCGTTCATTCATTCAAAACACATTTACTGAGTACCTACTATATTCCAGGAATCATTCTTCATCCTGAGCAAGAGCATAGACAAGATACCTGGAGATTTCAAAATGGAAAGAATTTAGAAAATGTGTCCAGCTATGAAAAAAACATATAAATATTGTCCAAAATAATGAGGCGAAAAAAATTCCAGATTGTGAACAATTGTATGAAGGCTTTTGTTAGCGATAATTGTACGAGGCCTTTTGTTAGCGTCTCCATGAGAGACGAAGAGCATGGTCAGAGCTCTGGGTTCAAGGTCAGCTCTGTCACTGGTGTCCTGGGCTTATCTGTAAGAGGTAGGCATATTCCCACAACCTCTCAGTGACTCCTCCCACTGCTGGCTGCTGTCCTGGGCTTACAGTCTTTGCAGCTAGCTCTATTTCTAGAAAAGTATGTTAGGAAAATTGTTGGCTTACAGATATGGGGAAAGAGGATGTGACTTGAAGATCCAAAGTTTGCTGGCTAAAATGAGGGAGTATTAAGAAGGTTTGGGGTTATTTTTGTTTTTACAGAAGTGAGGATTGAATCCAGACCTTTGCACTGAGCTACATTTCCAGCCCCTTTTTTGAGGCAAGGTCTTGCTAAGTCATTAAGTTACCAGGCTGGGCTCCAACTTGTGGTCCTCCTGCTTCAGCCTCTCAGAGTGCCGAGATCACAGGCATGCACCACACACCTGTGTTACCATATTAAGATGTGATGTGTTGGAGAGTGCAGGACATTTGTTACCTTAAGCCAGTTCACATCCAGTTCCATCCCTAAACACACCTGGAGGGCCGCCTCTATAAAAGCCTGTGTCAACAGCCTGCCCTGCAGCAGTTGCCTCCTGCCAACCCCAAGCACTTGGACACTGACCCCCACTGTTCATGCACTACCTACAAGCACCTTTGCACTCTGGTCCTGTGGGTTTTCTCCACAATCCTAGCTGCCACCACCCCCACATGTCATTGGACTCTGGTCCTTCCCATGCATTGCAGCCTTCACGTGGAACCCTCCTTTCCTTCCACTGAGCCATCAGAGCCCCTATGCTAACTTCCATGCATCCTTCTAGTGCTTCCTTTCCTCATAGGAGGACAGACCCCTGCCAAGTGTTCCCTCCCTTCTCTGTCATGGTCTCCACTTGCTTTCTGACCTTTGTCTCCTTCTTCCAGACTAGGAGTTCCACGAAGGTCTCTAACAAGGCTGGTCCGCAGCAGCTTCACATGGAATAGAGGTGGCCCTGAGGTGGGTGCCGCTCCTTTGTTCTCTCAGGAAGCCTTATTCTGTGCCTAGTATCATCTCTATTTGGAATAAACAGATGGTCTCTCCTTTCCTAGGTGAGCTAAGTTTGGGAGGACTAAGTCATCCCTGACCATCTGGATATCATACAAAGTGTGGGACAGGAGGGAACAGTCATCATTCGAGTCATTAGTATGGCTGTGTAATGCCTCTGGAGAGACTGCAGAAATCTCCTCCCTTCTCCAAGGAGCCTCCTGACTGCAACTGGCAGCAAGGGGGCATCCAGCATGTGCTGCCAACCACTCAGCTCTAGAGAAAGAGACGCAAGACACTTTCCCCTCTTCCACTGAACGCTTTTGAGTGGATTTGCTAACCTTTCCAATGTAAACAGTGTATGTGTGTGTAGATTTTTTTCTTTTTTTGTAGAACTGGGGATTAAATCTAATACCTTTGCACTGAACTGCATTCGAAGCCCTTTTTTCAAAGATTTTTTGGAGACAGTATTTTGTTAAGTTACTAAATTGTCCAGCTCTGATGTAAATATCTAACTTTTTAAAGTTAGTTTTCTGAGGAGACTTTATTTCACCTGTTTATATAGAGAAACATGTATTTTTAAAAGAAATTCTGACAATGTCAATTGTTGATGCAAATGTAGAGAACCTGGAACTCATATACATTGCTAGGTGGGAATACAAAATGGTATGACTAAACAAATTTGATACTTTTTTGAAAAATTAAACATTAATACATAAAGTGAAATATAAATGACCTGGAAATCCTATTCACTCTCAAGTCTTCAGGGAAAAGAGAACAAAATGGGCATGTTAGGTGGCACAGGCCTGTGATTACAGGCTCAAGCAGAAGGAATGCAAATTCCAGCCCAGCCTGGGTAATTTAGTGAGTTACTAAGACCCTGCCTCTCATAAAAAGTATTTAAAATGGGATTTAGGATGTAGCTTAATGTGAAGGGCTTGGGTTCCATTCCCCATACTGGGAGTGAGGGAAGACGTATAAAGATATGTAAGTTTATGTTCATACCAGCTTTATTCGTAAGACCTATCCTAGAAATACTCCAAATGTTCATCTACAGGTGAAGGGATAAACTGTGGCTTGTGAATATCCATATTATAGAATGCTACTCAACAATAAAATGAAACAAATCAGTGGAACATGCAATAACATGGATGAATTTCAAAAACAGAATATTTTTGAGAGTGAAAGAAGCTGATTGCATTTTAACTCAATTATGTGACTTTGTTCATACAAAATGCCAGACAAGATACAATGTGTGGTAATAGAAAGCAAATTAGTGATTACCAAGGGGAGGGCTGGGTGTTCACTGGAATGCAGTTGAAAAACAATGTGTATGCCTTAATAATGGTTACTGAACACATACAATTGTCAAGGCTCATTTGGAGGTACCTTATTATCTATAATTTATACCTCAACAAAGGCAACTTATTTAAGAATCTATCTGTATTTTTAAAGAGGACTTTGATTTACAATTCACTTTGAGAGGAGACAATTTTTAAACAGTGACTAATAAATAAAGGCTAGAGGCTCCTATTTATTATCAAAAATTTGGCTTTTTGTTGGTGTTAATACCTTGTTTCCTACCCATCAGCCACAAACAACACTACTTTGAAAATCTACTATTGAATTGTTACCTTAAACATGACCCAAATGTTTCATAAAGATTTCTCTAAACAATTCTCTAAAGTTTTTCTTTTAGTTCATTAAAAAGAATGGTTTGTGCTCATATTGTTTGATCATTTTTTCATGCCTATATCTTGCAATCTGAGCAACTACTTTGAAGATAATAATACACAATGTATTAACCATTGTCAATTTCCCACTATCCTGATATGAAATTCTGTATCATTAGTCTTACTGCTTTTTGTCTTTAAAATAAGGGGCCAGGAATTTAGCTCAGTGGCATGAGCACATGCCTGGCACGTGCAAGGTTATGAGTTTGATCCCTGGCACCAAAATAAATAAACAAATAATAAAATAAAATAAATAAAGTAAAAGGAGATTTCCATTTTATAGGAATTCTGACTACAGTCCTACATAACCAACAAGTTATGAATACATCTACTTAAGTGACTTTATTCAGGAACCCATTTCTCTAGGAAATCTCCATGAGCAAGAAAGCGAACTGTTTCATCAATATTTAATCATAGTGTATTCTTCAAGTCCACTTTAGGGCAGCCTCTAAATCACAAAACATCATGTTCCCAGAGTGGTGGAGGAAATTATACGTAACAGCTTTTGTCAAGAAACATGTAAGTAGAAATTAAGAGTAGGGACTCTGAAAATTTGGCTCCCAGGTCAAATCTGGGTTACTCTTCTTACTAATGGCATGACCTTTAGCTGGCCACTCAAACCTTCTAAATCACCAATTCCTCCTAAGCAAAATGGGGTATTAATGTATACATGCCTCACTGGATAACTTGGAAATTCAGCGGGATACTGCATGTCAGGGACTTGGCACAGTGATAGACACATGTTAAATCCGTATTTATCATTATCATTATTAAAGAGCTCAGAGCACTTTAAAGTCCCTAGAAGCATCAGCAGAGAACAATGGCATCCCAATTACTTAGCTATAAGAGAAAAGGGAGAACTAAACTATTTAATTTACAATGGCTCATATTACTGAATTAACTAGAATGTGTTTCTGACTTAATGTTTAGTTCTTTATTGATCCATTGTGAGCAAGTAATCTGGATTAAAATATAAGAGACAAAACGAAGGCTTCTGTTTTCATTGATTGTTGTAAATTGTCACTTGCTACTTTGTCCCTACTTCGCTGCCTTCCTGACTTCTTCTGCCATGAAGTGTTTCTCCTCTGCGAAGTCCCTCTTCCTTGCTTCCCTGCTTTGGGCCCAGCCAGCTGTGAACTGAAATCTCTACAAACTGTGAGCTAAAATAAGCCTTTCCTCCTTTAACTTTGGGTTTTAGGTATTTTGTTTCAGCAATGAGAAAAGTAACTAAGACAAAAAGTTTTCAGTTTTTTCCCCATTTAATATGATGTTGGCAGAAGGTTTGTCATAAATCACTTTTATTTAGATTAAAAGAAAGGCTTTCAATACCTATTGTCTTCACTCTTTTTATCATAACAGGATGTCAGATTTTGTCAAAGGCTTTTTATCCATCTATTGAAACAATCATGCATTTTTGTTCTTGTTTATATTTACATGATGTATTACATTTATTGATTTGCATATGTTGAACCATCTTTGTATCTCTGGGATGAAGGCTTCTTGGTCATGATTGCATGATCTTTTCGATGGTTCGTTGCATTCTGTTTGCAATGTCTTATTGAGGATTTTTGCAACTATATGCATTAAAGAGATTGGTCTACAGCTTTGGTTGGATCCTTGCTGGTATTGGAATCAGGGTAATGGTAGTTTCCAGGAATGACTTTGGGAGTACTCTTGCCCTTTAAATTTCATTCAAGAACTTGAGGAGTGTTAGTATTCGATCTCCCCTGACGCTTTTGTAGAATTCAATAGTGAATTCATCTGGACCTGGACTTTTCTTAGTTAATGATTTTTTTATGGTTTCAATTTCATTGTCTGTTGTTGGATTATTAAGAGTTTTTTTAATATTCTTGATTCAGTTTTGGCAATTCACATGTATCTAGGAATGTATTCATTTCTTCCAGTTCTATTGGCATATAGTTTGTGAAGTTGTTTTTCCTAGCTTATTTTGATTTTGGCAGTATACATTGTGATTTCCCATATAGGTTGTTTTGATCATTTTTAAACCTCAAATCTGATAAAGCTGACTTCCTACCTGTTGTACTTAAGACCAGAGTATAGTGGAATAGTTTCCTGAGGGCCAGTTCACTTCTTAGTCTGAAGCACACTGGTACTCCAGTCTATAAACCATGGCAAACCAGGCAAAAGGGAGAGAAATTTGATTGGATGTTAAGTGGAGATAAAGAGAATCTAAATAATCCTGCTTCCAGAGAAAGGATTTCCAGAGAAAATCACTGTCTGATCATTTGAGAATAGGAAGCCCTCTCAAAATCTTGTTTCTTTCTTACTAAATAAGAAAGCATGAATGTACTCTCTTTCTCATCCTATACTTTTTGTCTCTGGTTTTAGAATCTGTTGCAACCTGTTTGATATAAAAAGGAAATTCTTTAACACGCCTATCAAACATTTAAAGCTACCTAATTACAACAAAAGAACTTTCTAAATTCAATGCAAAGCTCCATGTTAGGGAAAATTCAATTGGAGGAAAAGACAAAATAGGTTCTTTTTCTAAGAGCTTATTTGAATACCAATTATGAAACACAATCATCTTTCAATATCCACATGGGATTAGCCCACTAACATACACAAATCTAAGGATGCTCAGGTGCATTATATAAAATGATATAATATTTGCATAGAACTTATGCACCTCCTCTCATATACTTTAAATCATCTCTTAACTACTCATGATGTTACAGATAGCTGAATTAGGCTGAGACTGATAGGTAGTTAGAAAGGGACCAGGCCCAAGAAAGAGACCAAACAAAGATGAAGCAACCAGATCTGAGGTTAAAGGCTGAGTGGATAGAAACCAGACCCCAAGATAGAGATACAATGGCTTGGCCTTCAAGCCTCCCCAGAGCTGAACAACAACTCAGAGCTATACTGTAACTAATGCCATTTGGTCTAACTAGCCTAAACAATGTTATAAACACATAGAAACAACATAATGAACGTGTTGACAGAGAGATGACCAAACCGCTCTGAGCCTTATTCATATCCTTTACAGAAATGCATTTGTTCTTCTCCATGCTATGTTGCCTTGCTTCTGCTTGTTTTTCTATTAAATGAATATTAGCAAAGTGATTGTTCTTAAGCCTATGGGTTGATTTTAATTTGATCCTAGGTAACCTGTAATGTGATTGTAAATAAAAATCTCCTAAAGAAAGAGCCTCCATGAGTTCCACTTTCAGGATCTCTCCTGCCCCTTGGGGGCTCTCTCTTAATAAAAACTTCTCCTACTCTTCACCTCCTCTCTCCTCAATTCCATTCTCTGGAGTGCTGAGACACAAACTCAGCATACCTAACAGATTGGGAGTTATTTCCTGTAACAATAACACCTAATACAATGTAATCATTTACTTTGAGCATTGCTTACTGGCTGTAGTGAAGATCCCTCAACCTACTGGCACATTCCCCTTCATCCCACTGATACAAACTTTCTAGCTTCCACCACTGATCTTTGGGCCTTCCCAGCACAGATCCATGAAACAGACTTGCGTGAGTCATTGTCATAGGTTCTAGGCCTCAGATGGACTCATGAGGGGCATTGTCATGGGCTCACCATCTTCAGCTAGACTCACGCAGGATGTTGCCATGGGATCTGGGCCTTCAGCTAAATTCCTTGGGTCTTAGTGTATGGACAGATCTCCTCTACTTCTTGTATTTATCTCTTGGGTGATTATTACAAAACGATGCCGGACTTCCGGGAGAACATGGTGGACAGATAGCAGTAGCTACGGAGGCTCTCTGAAAGACCCAGCTTAGAATTCAAGAATGGTGCAGAGTAGGGAATCATAAGCAAGTGGAGATATGCCCTGCTGACCCAAGAATGAACTGGGCTGAGAGAAACCAACTTGGAATGCAATCCTGGTGCTATAACAGGAATGGAAAAGCCTCAGTGTGGAAGCTGGAGCCCATGGCATTGGAAGCCGCGATTTGGGTTTCCTGCCTTGCAGCGGCTTCATCTACATCGGCTCGGAAGGGAGAGAGACGCGCGGAAGCTCTGAGAACGGGAATCGGTGAACGGAGTTGAAAGCAGGACGGGCAGGGAGCTGTGCATTGACTTGCGGCGAGGTGAGTGAGAGAAACTGAGACTCTTCCACAGTTTAGGAGACTCCAACAGAGGACATTCTGGGACTGGGCAGACTTGCAGGAACAGGGCGCTGCAGTGACTTCAGCCACATATCCCCCTCTCAAGCAGGATTGGTGAGAAGTGCCTGGCCTACATGACGCTGCTGGCTGAGACCCAGTAATCTAGCACAACCCAGATCCCAGAGCCTGAGGGTGGCCTGGAGGGGCGGGCCCCAGGTAGGCTGCCTGGTCTGCAACTTCCTGGTGTGCTGCGGTGGGCGGGAATACCTAGCTGGCGCAATTCAATCAGACTGTGGCTGACAGGGAAGGAAGCTGGGCCTCCTATATACACTTGCATAAATAAGGAACAAAGAATATGGGAAGAGGGAGCAACAAGAAAGGCCCTTTGGCCCCCAATCTTGAGAAACAGGCAATAGCGGACACCACACCGATAGACATAAAGCGCCATCTCCAGAGCCTCATAGACGAGTTCAAGAATGAAGTTATTAATGACCTGAAGCTAGAAATAAGCAGAATAGTTAGAGAAATGCTAAGCACCACCCAAGAAAAAACAGATGGTGGAATGGAAGAACAGAAAAAGAGGGGAGAATTGTTTGATGGAGAAAATAGAGAAAGCATAGAATACGTGAAGCAGGTTCAAAGAGACTACCAGGAAACTAAAAACTCTATTGAAAACTGGCATAACAGCTTGAAAGAAACTAAGGACAGACTATCTGAAC